GGCTCCGAGAGTTGATTTTGGAGGAGGCCCATAGCTCCCGGTACTCTATTCATCCTGGCGCCGCGAAGATGTATCAGGATTTGCGACAGCATTATTGGTGGCGTAGAATGAAGAAGGATATCGTTGCATATGTGGCTCGGTGTTTGAATTGTCAGCAGGTTAAGTACGAGCATCAGAGGCCTGGTGGTTTATTTCAGAGGATTGAGCTTCCCGAGTGGAAGTGGGAGCGGATCACTACGGACTTCGTTACTGGACTCCCGCAGACTCGGAAGAAGTTTGACGCAGTATGGGTCATTGTTGATAGGCTGACCAAGTCAGCGCATTTCATTCCTATGGTAGTCTCCTATTCTTCTGAGAGTTAAGCTGAGATCTACATTCGGGAGATTGTTCACCTTCATGGTGTGCCCGTATCTATCATTTCGGACCGGGTACGCAGTTTACCTCGCGTTTCTGGAGGGCAGTTCAGCGAGAGTTGGGCAAACGGGTTGAGTTGAGCACAGCATTTCATCCCCAGACGGACAGACAGTCCGAGCGGACTATTCAGATTTTGGAGGATATGCTCCAAGCTTGTGCCATTGATATTGGAGGTTCGTGGGATCAGTTTTTCCTTTAGTAGAGTTTGCCTACGACAACAGCTACCAGACGATCATTCAGATGGCTCCTTATGAGGCTTTATATGGTAGGCGGTGTCGGTCTCTGGTTGGGTGGTTTGAGCCGGGAGAGGCTCGGTTGTTGGGTACGGATTTGGTTCAGGAGGCCTTGGACAAGGTCAGGATCATTCGGGATAGGCTTCGTACAGCTCAGTCCAGGCAGAAGAGTTATGTAGACCGCAAGGTTCGAGATGTGGCTTTTATAGTCGGTAAGCGGGTATTGCTCCGAGTGTCGCCTATGAAGGGCGTGATGAGATTTGGGAAGAAGGGCAAGCTTAGCCCTAGGTTCATTGGTCCATTTGAGATTCTTGATCGAGTGGGAGAGGTGGCTTATAGACTTGCATTGCCGCCGAGCATATCAGTCGTGCATCCAGTGTTTCATGTGTCCATGCTTCGGAGGTATCACGGCGATCCATCCCACGTGTTAGATTTCAGCACTGTCCAGTTGGACAAGGACTTGTCTTATGAGGAGGAGCCGGTAGCTATTCTAGACCAGCAGGTTCGTCAGTTGAGGTCGAAGAGTTTTCCTTCTTTCGTGTTTAGTGGAGAGGTCAGTCTGCTGAGGCATCGACTTGGGAGTCCGATTCCGATATGCGGAGCCGTTATCCCCATCTTTTTCCCGACTCAGGTACTTCCTTCTTATGTCCGTTCGAGGACGAACGGTTTTTTTAGAGGTGGAGAATGTGATGACCCAAACGGTCATCACTTGTTTTAAATTAAATTCTATATTTCTGAGGTCTTGAAAACCTCATTTAGAGTCACCTAGAATTGCGTGCGCAGTCCGAGCGCGTAGCCGGAAAGCTTAAATATGAAAATCTATGAAAAATTATAAAAATTTGGTTATAAAAAATTTGACTTCGGTCAATGTTTTGGGTAAACGGACCCGAACCCATGATTTGACAGTCCCGAAGGGTCTATAGGAAAATATGGGACTTGGGCGTATGTCCGGAATCGAATTCCGAGGTCCCGAGCCCAAGAAATGAATTTTTAAAGGAAATTGTTTTCTGAAATTGTTTAAAGAAATTTGAAATGAAATTTGAGTAGAACGTGTTGGTATCGGGCCCGTATTTTGGTTCCGGTGCCCGGTACAGGTCTTATATATGATTTAAGATATTTCTGTAAAATTTGGTGAAAAACGGACGTCGTTTGACGTGATTCGGACCTAAATTGCTAAATTTGATACTTTATGAAGTTTGAGAAAAGATCTTGATTTTGAGGTTTGATTCATTGTTATTGAGGTTATTTTGGCGATTTGATCGCACTGATAAGTTCGTATGATGTTGTTGAGTTAGTACGTGTGTTTGGCTAGGAGCCCCGAGGGCTCGGGAGTGTTTCGGATGTGTTTCGGGAAGTTTTGAACTTGAGAAAAAGTTGCAGATTTCTGTTGTTACTGCCCAGGGATTTTACCCTTTGCGTTCGCGTGGACCCACTCGCGAACGCGTAAGGGAAAAATCCCAGGAGCCCATTTTCTTCTTCGCGAACGCGAAGGTTGAGATGCGAACGCGAAGCTGAGGAGGGAGACCCTTCGCGAACGCGTCCCTCCACTCGCGAATGCATAAGGCTAAGGGGAGGGGTCACCTTTTTGTTCATCGCGAACGCGACCACTGGTACGCGAACGCGTAGACTTCAGGAGCCAAAGCTCCGCGAACGCGAGCCTTTTCACGCGAACACGAAGGCCTGGCATGCCTGACTCATCGCGAACGCGAAGAGCCTGTTGCGATTGCGAAGGGCATTTTCGCTTAGTGATTTTTGAAAAGCCAAAAACAGAACACTTACGGGATTTTATAAAAATATCACAAACCCCTTCTTCTCTAAAGCTCTTAGGCTATTTTTGAAGCAATTCTTCACCATAATCTCTTGGGTAAGTAATCTTTAACTCATTTTCTTCATTTTCCATTAACACTCATTAGATTTTTAGGCCTAAATCATGTGAATAAGGGTAGAAAATTAGGGATTTGGGTAGAACTAGGGCTTTTTGACTAATTGTGATTTAGACCTCGTTTTGGGGTCGAATTCTAGAAATAATTATATATTTGGGCTCGTGGGTGAATGGGTGATTTGATTTTGGTCTGAACCTCGTGTTTTGACTAAGCGGGCCCGGGGTCGATTTTTGGATTTTTGGGAAGAATGATTGAAAAGCTATAATTAAACATTGGAATTGGATTGTTTACCATTTATTGATGTTATTAAGTCGACTATGTATAGATTCAATTGGGTTGGAGCCGAATTTGAAAGGAAAAGCGGTGATTGAGGCTTGAGTTGGCCGTGGAAATTCGAGGTTAAGTGTTTGGTCTAACCTTAGCTTGAGGGATTAGGAGTCGAGTTCTATTTGCTACGTGATTATTGTTGAGTACGACGTATAGGCATGGTGAAGAGTATCTATACGTTGGTGTTTGGCATGACCGTGAGTCTTATAATGTGATTTTCATGATTTCATTGAATAAGCTATGCTTTAGAAGTGATTTTTATTTGTTGTGAAAAGTTAAGGAAGTAATTGTGACTTTTGAACATCGAGGAGCAATGGCTCAAGTTATATTACGAATCTGTGAAAGTAAGTGAGTTGATTGAACCCTTTGGAGCATTGGCTTAAGTGGTAAAGCGAGTTGTGAAGTAAAAGTGAAAAGAGAAAGAGTTACTAAATTGTTCCCTTGCCGGGATATTATTGCTTATTTGGTTATCTCCCTTGCCGGGATGTTGATATTGTTGATGTTGTACCCTTGCCGGGATTTAATTGTTTAATTGTTGCTCCCTTGCCGGGATTCCTATTATAATCTTGTTTATTCCCTCGCCCCATTGTTGTGATTGTTGTTTGGTGAGGAAGAGTGATAAAGCACGAAGGGTGATTCCGTGCATTATTATTTTGGGAGGAAAGAGTATAAAGCACGAAGGGTGATGTCGTGTATGATTGTGAGGAAAGAGTGTAAAGCACGAAGGGTGATGTCGTGCCGCACGATGTACCATTCCGTGCCGATTCTATTGATTATTTGGTGAGGAACGAGAGTAAAAGCACAAAGGGTGATGCCGTGCACATTTCCATTATATATTTGCTTTGGTGAGAATGAGAGTAAAAGCACGAAGGGTGATGCCGTGCATTTATTGATTCCTGATTCCTTATTGGTATCCGAGTTATGTTGTTTCTTTCCTTACTTGATGCCTTTCTATTCAGAACTGTTATCTCTCCCACGGCATGTTTCCCCATCCCACATTGACTGGTTATTTCTGTATTTTCTTTTTCGTTGTATCTATTTAAACTGCACATGTTTATTTGGTAGTCTGGTCCTAGCCTCGTCACTACTTCGCCGAGGTTAGGCTGGACACTTACCAGCACATGGGGTGGGTTGTGCTGATATTACACTCTACACTGTGTGCAGATCCCAGAGAAGCTTTCGGACAGTAGTTGGAGTGCTTCCTTCAGTCCACCCGGAGACCCAAGGTAGACCTGCAGGCGTTCACAGGCCCTGGCGTCTCCCTCTATCTCTATTTCCTGTTTACATATCTTTTATTCAGAAACAGTGTACCGTTGTTTTCTTCAGACCTTGTATGTAGTAATCTTAGACAGTCTATGACACTATGACACCGGTTCTTGGGTATTCGAGGTTTTGGAAGTTGTAATAGGCGTTGATTCCAGATATTTTATTATTACCTTCCACTTGATTATTTAAAGTTCCGCTGATTTCATGTTATTGTTTATATTTGTTAAAAGAAAATAATTTGTTAATGAAGTGAGTAGTTAAGTTTTGGCTTGCCTAGCTCCCATTAGTAGGCGCCATCACGACTCCCGAGGGAGGAAAATCCGGGTCGTGACACTTGCATACAAGAGAAATTTGTCACAAAGTATTGAATCATATTAATGATATTCTTCATTCAATAGGTCGTGATATCAACGAATTTGAACTAACTCAGGGCAAAATTCAATCATCTGCAACAGCCAAAGAAGCTAAAGACGTACATTTTGAAAGGAATATTATCGTTAATGAACAAGATTTACTATTGTAGTATAAACTAAACATTGAACAAAGAAAAGCTTACAATATAATCCTTGATACAATATTCTCAAATAAACCCGGACCATTCTTCATTGATGGTCCAGGCGGAACTGGAAAAAGCTTTTTATATCGTGCCTTATTAGCTACAGTGAGGCACAGAGGATTTATAGCATTAGCGACTGCGAGTTCAGGTGTTGTTGCTTCACTTCTTCCTGGAGGCCGAAATGCTCATTCCCGATTTAAAATACCTATTGATGTTGATGGAAATTTTAGTTGCAATATTAGTAAACAAAGTTCACTGGTATCATTGATTCAAGATGCAAAACTAATAGTATGGGACGAATTTTCAATGGCGAAAAAATAAATGATTGAAGCATTAGATTTGCTCCTCAGAGATTTAATGGGAACAGCTATGCTGTTTGGTGGAAAGGTTGTTGTATTCAGTGGCGATTTTAGACAAACTCTTCCCGTTATCCGTGGTGGATAAAGGGAAGATTTTGTTCGTGAAAGCTTACTATGTTCTGAAATTTGGCATCAACTTGAAAAATTACAACTGTCTGAAAATATGCGTGCGAAAACAGGCCCAGCTTTTTGTGAATATTTGATGAGAATTGGTAATGAAAAAGAAAGAAAAAATGATAAGAGCAAAATAGAAATTCCCCATCCTCCGATCATACCTTTTACCACTGAAAAAGATTCCTTGAATCATCTAATTAAAGTTACTTATCCCGATTTATATTTAACTCATTCAAATATTTCTGTTATTACTTCTCGCGCAATCCTAACTACGAAGAACGACTTTGTTGATGAAATAAATGACCTGCTAATTGCTCAATTTCCAGCTGATGAAAAAGTCTATTTAGCTACCGATGAAACAATTGATCCAAAAGATCAAAGTGAATATGAAGATTTTTTGCACGCTTTAAATCCTCCTGGTTTACCTCCTTATAGATTGTGTCTAAAGAAAAATTATCCGATTATATTATTAATAAATTTGAATTCCTGCGAAGGTTTGTGCAATGGGACACAATTAATACGTAACGACTTCAAATCTCATATTATTAGTGCTACAATATCCGGTGGTGATTTTAAAAATACACATGTATTCATCCCGCGAATACCACCATTAACATCAGAAGACGAAAAACTACCCCTTCAATTTAAAAGAACATAATTTTCAATACGGTTATGTTTCACCATGACTATAAATAAAGCTCAAGGCTAAACATTAGATTTTGTTGGCATTTATTTGCAAGACTTTCTCATGGTCAGTTGTACGTTGCTTTATCAAGAGCCAAAGGTTCCAACTGTGTTAAGGTATTAATTAAACCGTCTATAGCTGACGATGATGATAATCGCTCCACATATAATGTAGTTTATGATGAAATTATCGAAAAAGCTTTTTCTATAACCTAGATCATCATTCCTAATAGTAAGTGTAGCGTACAACTTGCTCACTCTTTGGATTCTTTGATTTTGTATTATAATCATTCTGACAATCTTACATTTGCTCATTATTATATTGTCATGTATTATAATTGCAGTTTACATCTAAATGGCAGAAAGGTTCAACGTCAATGCGATTACTCCAGAAACAGAAGAATGGACCTGTAAGGTTCAAGTAGTTGATAAAGGCAGACCTAGAGACAACAAAGAAAAAACGAAAAGTATCAATTGATGATTTTGCAAGATGAAGAGGTGATTTTTAGAGGATTCATAAGTTTGCTAATACTAATTAAGTTAATATTATCCTAATTGTGCCTCATTTTGTTACAGGAAAATCAAGTGGAATGCATTATATTCAATGCGGAGATAATGCATTTTGAAGATCTGTTTCGTCCTTTCCATACTTACTTGGTGTCAGTTGCACAAGTCAAAGAATCAAACTATATGTATGAAAATCCACTTAACAAATTTACATGGACAATTGATAGGTGTACCATTGTTGAGCCAATAGAAACTGTTAATCCTCCAGAAGAGCCACTGCCTCCGCCAACGCGCCTAAATCTTACACCATTTGGCAATTTCGAATATCAACCCGAGGGATCTGAATTCGGTAATTGAATATTTAACTATTTATGTTGTTTGTTCACTTAAGATTCACACTTATTAGTATTGTTATTATTACGATTATTGTCTATAATAATTTTTATTGTCTATTAGCTTATTCATTGTTCTTTTTAAACGCAAGATGTGCTTGCCATTGTGCTCAACGCAAGCCCCTCAACCTATGCTTCAAATGTGAAGAGAATTCAAGATTTTATCATCACGGATGATCAGTAAGTATACATAAACCTGTTTTATTGGATCCAACTAGCAACTGATGATTCGAGTATGATGTAATGTGTCACTTTTCATATATTGTCTACTAATAGCACACAATAAATGAAACGAAAATTCAGGTTGAGGTTGTACGCTTTAAAAGGCTGCTTTGCACGCTTCAATTCACCTTCGATTTTGCTGCAATTATAATCTTTCAAAGTATACTTAGGTCCACTACACATTGTATGGTTTAACCTTTTTACTACTAATAATATTTGATCATATCTTTAAATATATTCTCAACAATGCAAAGTTTTTATCTTATTGTTTCTGTTGCTATAAGAATCTAAGTAAAATTAGAATTGATATCATATTGTTCTTTTGATTTTGTAAATTTTAATTTGGCTCAGCTTTTTTACAACTAATTTATGCTTTTTCAAAATTAACTTCAAACTTTCAATTTATTTTGATTTATATAATCACAATTGTTAGGATAGCTGCATAGAGTGACGACAAGAGTCTAAAAAGCATATCACTAGCTTTTAAGATTTTAAAAATCTTTAATTGTTTTTCAATAAAGATAGAAGCAATGATCCAGAAAAGAAAACTTTAGTTATGGAAAAATCACAAATTAGAAAGAAGCTATTAAAAGCTAACTTAAAAATTATTTACTGTTATATGCGCCAAAAAATTAGATTGTTGCTAAGAGTTATTCAGAGAAAAAAATAATGCCTTCAAATATAGAAATATAGCATAGTTAAATTTCTAGTTGCCTATTTTTCTCTTTAACAATGACTTTCTGATTTATCTGTAGTTGTTCTTTAATAAAGGCATTGTCTATTATATTTAATTTTTTTTTACCTAATGTTGACTCATCCAAGTTTGCTAAAAAATTCGATCCTTTTGATGTCATGTTTAGCTATTGGATTTTAAATCAAATTATATTTTAAAAATATGTTTTATTCCATTCAATACTGTGGATAAAGATTGACGAAAATATTCATGTAATTAGAAAGTTGAATAAACAACAACAACTTTGTCTCCTCTAATGTTATATGTTTCCGAACAAATAGATAAGCTATCTCAAACTATAGCCAACATAATCTCGCTGTTCTTAGGAATTTGAGATATAGTAGTTCTTGCACAAATTGTATAAAATGGATGAATCTTATATGTACTAGCTTTTAATTAAAAGAAATTAGAGTTAAACATTTGAATGGCTTTGAAGAAAAGCTAATAAGTAGATTATAGAAATTCTATTCAAAGTATTCATGCGGCTGTGGATTCCTAAGTACTAAAATTTTGTATATCACAAACGTGCTTACAATCTATTGTATTTCAAATGTGCAGATATTACCAATGTTGAAAGACCTAATAGAAGAAAGCAGCATATCAATGTTACAAACATCTCTATTAGATATTCGTGCATTGTATAATACAGTTACATCGCAATATCAGAACTTATTCAAAACATCTTTATGTTGGAACTAATTGGATCATTGCTACAGTAAGTCGTGAATTATATCTATTTATCTTTTAGTAAGCATGAAGCAATGCTACCATCTATTTTAGAATTGAGACTTATTGGCTCTTCGAGAACATATGATATTTCAAACTATTTTGCTTTAGAAGATTTTGTTAAGGATCAATAGTCAAGACCTCAGGGAATACCTATTGTGTTCATGTTTTTTATCATGTCTAACATTTAAATGTTGCAATTGATGCTCATTTGTGTTGCTTAAACATTGAGATTCCTGTATTGATTTAATATAGTTATTTAACAATTTCGTTCTATTTTATACAGGAAAAAACCAACGAAATTCACACTCTGGGAAGATTTTATTGATCATAATGGGAACAAACTACTCCAACTGCTTAAAAAAGAATACCCAATCATCCTTGCTAGAAAAGTTGGAAGACCAAAGTCGTCATCAAGTAAAACACCTCAAATGCATGCAAGATGGAGTAACAAATTCAATACAGGTAAAATATATACGCAATTATATTTTAGTTTTCCATATACCAGACAACCAAATTAGAACTGAATGTTCAAATGCATGCAGGATTGACTAACAGATTCAGTACAACAATTGAAATCAATCCTCCATACCCACAAGCAAATGTGCTGAGAACATGGTATTGTAATCAATACATTATTGGTCATATATGTGCTTGAACGTATAAAAGAACTAATTTTGAAATGTTAACATACTTGAAGGGCCCAACAAAATTAACAAATTCTTATTGCGTACACAATGAAGAGCACAGGTCCAACAGGCTCTCTTTTATATGTTCCTTTCGAATAAGAGATAGTACCAATTGCAGATATCTGACAGCAAGATCCAATAAGTACACTAAATATTCATATATGCGCTGCTACAAATTTTTACCTTTATTCTCTAATAACAAAAAATTAATATGCGGCATCCTTATGTTTTCCAAGGCCAAATATTCTACATACAGGCTGAAGTCGCACTACAAAATGAGAACCAACGATTTTGAATCCTAGCTTGTTCAGACTGCAAACAACACTTCATACGAGCTATCTCACGGAGAAAGTCCTATTGCACTAACTGCCGTCGAGCTACCCAGTTGGTTCCCAGGTATACATGCAACTTCCACATAGATGTTTATATTTAACATTATATATTCACCATCTTTTAATTAACCAATCATTTTATCTTACAACTAGGTGCCAATTTGAAGTGACGCTCACAGATCAAAGCGGTTCTACAACAGCAACTATTTCCGACGAGCATGCAGAAAAAATATTGCTTCTCACTTCGGAAGAGATTTATGATATCGGTATCTTCAAGGTACATTATTAACTTTAAAAAAGCACAAACAAGTATCTTCTCCAAGTTGAGCCTTCTCTCACACATAAATAACTAATTTTGTCTTTACTGAAAAAACTGTTGCCTCTTGTGAACGTGCAAAAGCTACTGACTGGCAAGATCTTTAAGATTCAAATAAAAAAGCTATTTACAAGAAACAATGAGGCAGAAAAGTTAGTTATTTTGTCTTTGATGGACAAAACTAACTTGGTCATCTCACAAATGCCAGCCACCATCGAGGAAGTTGGAGAAGGAAGTAAATGAAAAATTGAACATGTTGCCACAGAGAAACAAGAGTGTCACGACCCAACCCCCGGTCGTGATGGCGCCCAACACACTGCTAGGCAAGCCCGACCTTTCAACAATATTCCCGAATTAAACAGATCATTAGTTGCAAGCACAGACAAAAATTTCTAAACTGTTTTATCAAAATCCTGGAAATAACAGTGAAATGAACTGAAAGTTTAACAAAATACTGCAACATAATACCCAACTAGGACCCGGTGTCACGAACATGAGCCTCTAATACAGAATATCCCCTAATACAAGTTTGTCTAAGAGAGTGCGGAAATAAAGAGTAGAGATAGGAAGGAGAGATCAAGGCTGCGAACGCCATGCAGCTACCTCAATGCTCTCCGATACTGTTGTCCTGCTAGATAGTCCTCAATCAGCCTGTGATGCACCTGGATCTGCACGCAAGGTGCAGGGAGTAATGTGAGTACTCCGATCCAGTGAGGAATAAACATAACTAATGACTGAAGATAAAAAATCACGAAATAATACAAGGTAAACTATAACTGACAGCCCAGCCATTTAGCAGTGAAACAACAAGTCAATGCAGTAACAGCATAGAAGAATCCATGACAGCTAAACAGATAAGTAATGATGCATGAATGCAATGCAACACATAGAACGGTACATTCCAGTACCCGCTGCGGCGTGCAGCCCGATCCGTTTAACGTCGACGGCACTCACTAGGGGTGTATACAGACTCCGGAGGGGCTCCTACAGCCCAAGCGCAAAAAATCAAGCCATCTCGTGGCACCAATATCCATATAATACCGCTACGGCGCGCAGCCCAATCCATGTTCGGTCCAGAAGTTCACACAAGCCACACGGACAATGTCAAGTAATGGTTCTCAGCTCAGGATCTCAATAAAATAGTATTTTTGTTTTCAAATCTTAGAAAATGACCTGAGTATTTCAAAACAGTATTTGTACTTAGGACTGAAATCCATTAATATGTCAAATAATGTGAAATTCACTGATAGTGATCCCTGAAGGATTCAAATAATCGGCACAAAGCCCAAATATGTCAATGAAATTCAAGTAGGATGATTATCAAACAGGTCTTAGTCGAAAACACAGTATGAATACCACTCGGGACGGACTAAGTCACAATCCCCAATCACAAACGACCCCGCACTCGTCATAGAGCGCGTGTCACACCTCAATATAGCATTACGATGCGATATGCCGGGGTTTCAAACCCTCAGGTCATCATTTACATCTATTACTCACCTCAAGCCGGCCCAAAGTCTAGCTCGCTATTCCTTTTCCCCTCGAATCGACCTCCTCGCGCGTCGAATCTAATCAAAACCACAAGGAATATATTACAATAGGCTAAGGAAACATAACCCAATCGAAAAGACTCGAAAAACATCGAAAATCACAAAGTTGGCAAAACCCGAGCCCTGGGCCCACTTCTCGAAAAATTACAATATTCACATCACCGGATTTCTCGTCTCGCCACGAGTCCATACATATCAAATTTGCCAAAATCTGAGCTCAAATGCCCCCTCAAATCCCAAATTTTCATTTCAAAAGTCAAGCCCTAGTTCTTCCAATTTTACTCAAATTTCCATGAATTTAAAGGTTGATTCTTCAATAAAAATGATGTTTCTAGGCCATAGGACTCACCTCCAATCAATTCCCGTCGAAACCCTCTTCAATTTCTCCCAAAAAGCTCTCAAGGTGCTCAACAATGGAGGAAAATGGAACAAACTCCGCGGATGAAATAATATAAAAAACCCTTCTGCCCAGGTAAATTTTACTCTATGCGAACGCGGTCAACACCCCGCGTTCGCGATGAACAGAAAATCATTGACCAAAATTAACTCTTCGCTAACGCGGTGACCAACCCGCGAACGCGAACCTTCAGGAGCCTCAACTACGCAAACGCGTCCCCAGGCACGCGAACGCGATGAACAAATACTCAGGGCCCAACTTCCTTCTACGCGATCGCGGAAGCACCATCGCGATCGCGATGCTTTCACTCCCAGAACTACGCGAACGCGACCATGAAGATGCGAACGCGAAGACCAAATTTCAGGCCACCCAAATTCCCTCTACGCGTTCGCAACTCACCCATGCGAACGCGAAGAGAAAATTTTTCTGCAACACCAACAGCCGGAACCTGCAATCATTTGAGTCCAAAAATGGTCCGATTGACCCTCTGAAACCACCCCGAGGCCCCCGGGACCTCAACCAAAAGCACCAACCCATCCTAAAACGTTATTCAAACTTGCTCCAATCATCAAAACACATCAAACAACGCTAAAACCATTAAATCACATCGGATTCAAGCCTAAGTTTCTTCAAAACTTTCGAAATACGCATTTGATCAAAAACCCGACCAAAACACCTCCGAATGATCTGAAATTTTGCACACACATCCAAAATCACCTAACGAAGCTAGTGCAACTCTCGGAATTCCATTCCGACCCCCGGATCAAAATCTCACCTACCAACCGGAATTCGCCAAAATACTAACTTCGCCAATTCAAGCCTAATTCTATACCGGACCTCCAAAATCAATTCCGATCGCACTCCTAAGTCAAAAATTATCCCCCGAAGCTAACCGAATCACCAAAATTCACATCCGAGCCCTCTAACTCAATAGTCAACATCCGGTTGATTTTTCCAATACAAGCCTTCCTTAAAGAGACTAAATGTCTCATTTTCTACCAAAGCCAAACCAATTCGACTCTAACTCACCAAATGCCGATAATGAAACATGAAGAAGCAATAAATGGGGAAAACGGGGCGGTAACACATGAGACGGCGGGTCGGGTCGTCACAAAGAGCAACCACACACAACAACCAAAGGCAACGGTTCCTACAACAAGTGTAAGGTGGAAATGAAAATTTCCCCTCCGAAAAACTAGTGAGAGGTATTTTAAATTCCTGTTCCTTCTAAATTTAATATGAGATTCAACTTTGTGGATAAAAACAAACAACTTAAATAACTATCGTTTGTTAGCATTTTTGCCAGTGAAACATCTTTTGCTACTATTCTGGGATGCAAGTGAAGCCACAACTTGCTGTTTGCTTTTGAATGCGATTAAGCTCATTTTTGTGACTGCTTTCTGGATGTTCCTCTACTCGGAATATGTCACGGCGACACGAGGTTAGTGTTCTTGATTACAAATATACTAATAAGATCAGTATTATAGAATGCATAGTCCACTTCAAATTATTTTGGAAGCCCGCCCCTTTCTATGCTATTTTAGACCCAACTATGGAGTTATGAGGTCCTTCTGGTGTGGCAACTGCTTATACAACTTTAACTAGAAGGCTTAATAGAAATTCTATGAGCCTAATATAGCACTACGTTGCCAGATAAAGCTTTGGCGACAAGACAAGCACATGTGAGAGTGCAAAATGTAAGAAAATATGAGTAAATACCTTTTTTGGCAGTTTATTTCTTGGGTTTAGAATACGACCAAGATTCCTATTCCTATCGTGACTTCAAGTCAAAAGAGTCCTACTGATCTTTTGAATTATGGTAAATATAACTTGTATAAGTTTGTTTTATGTGTTCAAATGTGAGTAACTGAGGTAAAAATTCAAATTCTCTAATATTTATACTTTGTGGCTTGAAGCTAGTGCTACTATCTTAGAAAACTGAAAGTCGTAATGAAATGAAAAGGTAAGACCTTACTGTCAACTGGTGCTGGTGCTTTTGACGACTATGGTTTCTTTCATTGTAGTTCTACTCTATTTTTTCCCTCATTTGAATGACTATTTGATGAATTGAGCAGTTCTTTATTTCTTAGGGACTCTAATGGAATGTGGGATGAATTTTTGTTGAAAGCTAATACTATACAAGTTGTGCCATGAATTGTTATTTGGATGTGATTTTCACAAATAAATCTAATATTGGAATTGAGGTTGTGTGCTCTAATAAGGTCTTTTCCATGCTTGAACTTAATTTTGATTTCATTGCAGTTATAATCTTGTAAAGCGTACTTAATTCCACCTGACATTATTGGAATAGATGTCATCTTTTTAGTTTTTGCTGCCAATTTTTATATGTCATCGTAACATTTATGATGATAACCTTTGATAAAAAACAGTTTGGGTAGACCTAGGATAGTGCAAAAGCTTAAACTTTTTGCTCTTTGTTATTTTCTTCAAGAAATTTCTTTTACTCAGTGATTTGAGATAGTTTTTTAGAGGAAGAAGACAACAACAGCTGCTGCGTTTTTTCCCGCATGAGGCTGCTGCGTTTTTATTGCCTTTTTTTTGGGATTGTTTTGAAGCTGGGTTGGTGGTCTGTTTAAGGGTCAGGTTGGTTTTAGACTAGATTCTCAGGTGTTTTTGATCAGTTTTCATGATGTTTTTGGGCTGGAGATGAAGCTGGTTTTTGGCTGCGTTTTTCAGTCATTTTTGGAGTGAATTTGGTGATGTTTTAGCCTGCTTTCAGCTGGATTTCGTGACTTTTTTTGGGCTGTTTCTGGGCTGTTTTTGGACAGTTTTTGGGGCAAGTTTGACAGTGATTTATTCTGGTTCTTGGTTGTTGATGGGTGATGTTTTTGGAGTGATTTTGGATTATTAAAGAGCTGTTTTAATGGGGAAAATGACTCAATTTGCTGGATTTTTAAAAGAAGTAATTAATGTTATTTCTTTGTCTTTAGCTATTGTATATAGATGTTAAGAAAAGAAAGAAAGCAAAATGACCTTTATGTGGTGGTTTCTAT